GTCGTCCTCGAACATAATAATCAAATAAGTAAATTGCACTCACATTTTCTCACTACCCAATCTTTTACACGATATTCCTAATCACATGCTTTATCATTTCCTTTGGGGTGTTTGGGTCGCTAGATTTATCGAGGTCTGACAACATTGTAATAATAACACAAAATATTTAACTATATGTTAGTATTATACTAGCATAAGCTAACTTTAACAATATAAAAATCTATAAAATAAAATCGATACTAAATTAATAATGAAACTAAATCATATTTCTATCATAATTTCAAACTTCCCAAAGTACTCATAAGATTCCATATATATTCATTTTCATCATCCACCCTCCAACTTTTTCCAATTTCGCAATCAAACTACTAATTATGAAATATTTTTAGAATTCATATAAACCTTTCCATTTAATTCATAATAGCCCTTCACCATTATGATCATTTCACACTAATTACCAAAATTTCCAGCACCTTATTAATATGCTCAATTCAATGCCTTAACATTCAAAAGATTGCAATTTCATCCTATATATCCTTAAATTTTTCGAATTCAACAACCTACTTTAATGATAATGCAATTTGATCCCAAACTAATATTTAAACTCAAAATTCAGCATACTAATAAAATTTCCAGCATTATAATCATTATAAATCAACATTAAGTACCTCAAATTCTGCATTTACTCATTAATGTCCCAATATTCTCAAAACTTGTAAATTAGTCCTTTTTCTAATTCAAGTTTCCAAATTGATCTCCAAATCACATATAACACTTCTAATATAAAGCCTAGACCATAGGAAAATTTTCAACATTTTCCCTTAATTTTCTTCATATGGCCGAACCTATTGAAGTACACAGAGCTTGATTTCCATTCAATTTCAAGCATGAATTCAACTTCCTTACATCAAATTCATGCTATTCTAATCATTACAACACCAAATTAAATCAAAATCCAATCATCTCTTAAAACCCTAGCCATGGCCAAATGATATATAAGAACATACACATCATTTTGATCATTACACATGCTTTAGAATTAATCCTTAATGCCACTAACATAAAAATCTTCCATAAATTCTTCAAAATCAAACATGTTCTCCATGAACCCAAATTCTCAATCTCATCATCCAAGCATGTTTAGCATGTATTTCTTATACCGAATTATAGAGAATTTGATGGAGAAGAATATTTTTTTCTCACCTTGGAGGAGTTCATGGCAGCAAGTTGATGGAGAAGAAGGGTTATTTGATTTTTTTTAGTAATTTTCATAATACACATGGCATTTAAACTAATTTAATTGAAATTAAAATTTAATTAATGGGAAATCCCCAAAATACCATTAATGAAACTTGATATTTACGAATTATGATTGCAATATATTCCATTAAAATATTCATTGGTCACAAATGAATTAATTTGGCTTTGAATTTCTACTTTGACCATGCAATTTTTGAAAATTGCATTTTAGTCACTAAATTTCTATTGTTCGGCCAAATCTATCAAATTAATTTCAATTTCACTGATCCATGCTAAATTTCACTGATTTAAAGCATGGAAATAAAATTCCAACCCTTGTCTAGTATCCTTCAAATTTTCGTAAAATTTTGATTATATCCGACTACCCGATTTCTATACTGAACTTTATTGCTTTATAACTTTTAATACAAATATCGTACCAAAAATCTGATTCTCATGAAAATTATTGTTTTAGACCAAAATGTTTATTTACAGTCTAAAATATATATTTTTTAAAAAATTACATTTTTAGTCTCTAAAATTTTACAAAGTTTATACTTTAGCCACCAAACTATTAAAACTTTCATTTTAATCACTAACAAAAATTTGGGGTATTACAATTTTGTTCAGAGCAGGGCGAGGAACTCAATGGTGACGACTGTATAATGTATGGCCAATTGTCGTCATCGAAATCATCAGAAAATAACAAAGGAAAACTTAGAAAATCAATGACCCTACGTGATGTTTTTCTCGATGATTAACGTTGTTTCAATGTGGGTAGGGGACTGGGTCTTGATCACGACGGAGAGATGGTCCTAATGATGTCAACGGCGATGGCCACGGACTAACGGTGTTAGATTGATGATGAAATTTTGGGGTTTTTTAAATTATAATATTAAATATTTAAAAATTAATAAAATTTTATATGAGTGACACGTGTCAGATAACAACCAAATTTAACGGTCGTTACGGTCCTGACACCAAAAAATGTAACGTTGGAAACATAATGCATCTATTTTTAGCAAAACATTATTTAGGTACCAAAAGTCAATTTGAAGTATGGTTTAAGCACCTAAAAGTGTGTTGAGCCTTAAAAAAATTTAAAAAAATATAACGGTAGGTACCTAAAAGTGTAACGGAGAAAACGTTAGTGTTGTATTTTTAACGAAAAAAATCTTTAGGCACCAAAAGTCACTTTGAGATATAGTTTAGGCACCTAAAAGTGTATTAAACCTAAAAATTATGATTATGTGAATTGAATCTTAATTTTATTTAACGTATAATTAATATTTTAATAAGGCTTAAACTCAAAAAATATTTAAATTATGTTATTTTTTGTTTTAGACATCTAAATTATTTTTGGTCAAACTAGGTACCTAAATTATTATATATAACCACTTTAACTATCTCAACTATTTTTTTTTATCAAAATAAGTCCCTAAACTATATTCCTTTTTTCTTTAAGCCCCTAAATTATATTTTTAGTTAAAATAAGTACCCGATTTTATAAGGCGTGTCAATATCTTATTGGTCGAAAAATAATTTTCTAACTGAAGGACTTAAAATAAATAAATATAATATAAGTATTTAGTTTGACCAAAAAATAATTTTAAGTATCCAAAGCGAAAAAAAATATAATTTAAGGACTTATTTCTACTTTAAGCCTTTCAATAATATAGGCATGAATATCTTATACCTTGAAAAATAAAAATGATTTAAAATCATTGAATAGCTTTATTAGTAAAGGATTTAATTTTCTTTTAAATATTTGAATTTAAGCAGTTGTATCTGGAAGTATATGAATATTGTAAATAAATTAAATAAATTTTTTAATAATACCATCATGTAGCCATTTTAAACTATTAAAAAAACAAAAAAAAATTATAAACATAGAACAAATTTAAACTAATTAAATTTAAACCCATATGTTCTACATATTATTCAATAAAAACATTACCTACTGATTATCACGAAGGGAATAATTAATCGAATCATATATTCGATAAAAATTAATTGCACCATATGTTATTAAATTATGATCTTCATTTTAAATTAATTTTCAACTTTTAAACATTTTAATTTATATAACTCTCCTTTTAAATTGTTTTAAACTTTTGAAGGGTCTAAACTAATCGTCAAACTAAGTTATGTTGTACATAATACATATTTTTGATTGTTCACATGGCAATTAATATTTTTTTTAATAATTTTGTTAATAAAGGACGTTATTAGCATATATCAATGGTTTAAAAAAACGGAACATTTAAAAGTTTGAGATCAAATTAGAATAGGAGTTATAATTCAGGGATAAAATTAAAACATTTTGAAGTTTAGGAAAGAGTTTAGAATTGGCGTCATAGTTTAGGCATGAAATTAGAATGTTTAAAAGTATAAGAATTAATTTAGAATAAGGGTCATAGTTTAGGGATTTGTGACTCAATTTGAAAGTTTAGTCGTTTTCGTCTTTGGCGAGTGTATTTAGGTGTCTAAACTATACCTCAAATTGACTTTTGGTGTCTAAAGAATTTTTCGCTAAAAATAGGTGTGTAATATTTTCAACATTGCACATTTAGGTGTCTAGACTATAACGACCATTAAATTTTACCGTTATTTGACACATCTCACGCATATAAATTTTCAAAAAAATATTATTATAATTAAAAAACCAAAAAAACCCTAAGATTCCATCGTCGATTAGCCACCCGCTCCATGACTGTCATCGTTGATACCATAAGAACCGTCTCGCCACTGCGACCAAAATCCAATCACTCACCCACCATGAAATTGTGTCAATCGTCGTGAAATTGCTCCAAAATCCGGTCCCCAAAATATGCCGATTGCGAATGATCGTTGGTCTTCTAAGTTTTCCTTCGATGTTTTTGACAATTTCAACTGTTACAACTGGTTGTACATTATACGACCACCACCATTGAATTCCTTGCCTTGCTCCGAACAAAACCCAATCGATGGTAATTCTTCGTCGTCGTCGGAGGTGGCAAGCTCGTCCATTGACAAGTGTAGCATGTGATACATCACAATACCCCAAATTTAAAGGCCCACACTTTGAGGGAAAAAAATCTACTAACCTAAAAAAAATATTTTTTCTTGACAAGTTTTAACAAAAAAAACCTTCTATTTTTCTCTCATATTATCTCAATAATTTAATTGTAATCAAATTTTTCTTAAAAAATCATCAAATTTATGGTGTTTAACGAACAATTTATTTTTATTTATGTTTATCATACTTTTAATCTTCTTAAATTTTTGATATTTTACAATTTCACTTTATTATAAAATATTTTAGGGATTTCGCTTTAAAAAGTAGCATAATACCTATATATCTTTTGGAACGGGCTTAAGAGATAGGGAGATGAGAAGGAGAGGGATGACACATAGATTTATTTTTTTTGAATTTTTTTCTTTTTTAAATAATATTATTGTTATTAAAAATAAAAAATAAAAAATATAACGGTAGACACCTAAAATGCAACGAAAAAAATATTAAACACTTATTTTTAACGAAAAATTATTTAAACAAAAAAAAATCAATTTTAGATATAATTTATGCACCTCAAATGTATTAAACCTTCTTTTTAAAAAGTTCATTTAATCTCCACGCGTGTGCAACGCATGGCAAGTGGGCATAAAGTCGAAAGCTGTGGAGACAGAGAACCAGAGCCATTAAAGATGGAAAGGTCAACTTAAGTGGCGTATTCAATCTGATTTTGTAAACATTATTTAGACAAAAATATTATGGTTAATGGATCCCACATACGATTCTTTCTCCAATTTAAACGACTCCTCCATGTCGATCATCGCCTTGGTTTAATGGTGGATTCCCGGAATTCATCCCTCAAAACAAAAGTTCATCCTTTCATTCTTTTATGAAAAAACAGATTAAATAACCAAGTGGGTTTCTCTCTCTCTCTCTCTCTCTCTCTCTGGAAGTTTGATTTGTTCTGAAGTGGGTTTTTGATTTTTTAATTGTTTTTGGGGATTTTGTAGTGATTCCAGGGGTGAAAGTGAAAGAAGAAAACCAAGAGGATGAACAAGTTGTTAAGGATTACAAGATGAACTCTGTTTTGTCTCTGAAAGATGTCCTGTTTCTCTCCATGCTCGATTCTTGTTTTCCAGGTATTATTCTCTTTTCTGTCTCTGTAAATCAGTTTCTGGGTTCTGGGCGTGCTTGATTATCGTGTTTTGATTGATTTGAAACACTGTCAAAGATGATTGATTTATGTAATTATATCTGTTTCCTAAAGCAAATCAAATATGGCCTGCAAAGAAAATGATGTTTATATAGAAGAAAATGAAGAATTCGAATCCCGAAACCTCCGAGAATAATAATAATTTCTTTATTACCGAGATTATTTGATTCGTGCTAAATATACGATGTTTATATAGAAGAAAATGAAGAATTCGAATCCCGAAACCTCCGAGAATAATAATAATTTCTTTATTACCGAGATTACTTGATTCGTGGTAAATATACGATGTTTATATAGAAGAAATTTAAGAATTCGAATAACATAACGCTATCGTATTTAACAGTGAAAACACATGAAGATGTTTCTCCAATGCCTACAGCAAGAATTCCAAAGTCTTATGTACCGCAAGTAGAGAAACATTCAGATACCTCATCTGAAGGTAGGGTTTTTCTTCCCCTTTATGCACTTCCTAATTCATTTACTTTTTATGTTATTCGAATTTCGAATAAGTGTCGGATACGAGTATGTATTTGTTATCGGAGATAGTTTCTTTTTCATAGTTTTTCGTATATTCAGAGGATCGTATCGGATTCGAATACATGCTATAGTTTAATGCAATATAGGTCATATGCAGGCTCAGTGAAAAGCAAGACGAAGTCCGAGGAGGAGGAAGCTAGACCAAATATTAGAGTGAGTTCAACTCCACGGCCCCGGGCCATCATTTCTAGTCCCGGTAATTATCTCGTGTTATTCGAATTCGATTTAAAGTTTTTCTCATATAAGCGGAGGATTCATGGAAGATCGTATCGATATTCGAATATTCGTCGAACACGAATGATTAGGTGTATGGGAAAAGGATCTATAACTCGTTCAACAATGGAGTGCTCTATAACTCATTGATGTTTACGCATTTTTCTTTTTAATTTAGATAACGATGCGGTGATCGGGTATAAAAACAAGATCGAAGGGAGACAACGGAGAGTTTCGAAGGATCATAGCACGGTTCGAAACCGACACACGACCCGGACCCACGTATTTAATGGAAATCCGGTAAGAACGACCAGGTCCAAGAATGATGATGGTCGTGATGTCGAAATCAGAGGGAAGAAAGGATCGGGAACGACTGTTTCGGCTCGGACGAAACAACCTTTAACCGAAAGACCAAGCTGGCAAGATCCCTAGAAGTGTAGCTGAATAATTCAAGAAAGAGATACATATCCAAACAAATAGTTTTTATGGCAAGGATGTATGGAAATAATAAGGTCAAATATGTCAAGTCATTTAACGTCTTATTTTCTTATTTTACCATCGACTCTCTCAAATAGTTAGATTTTCCAACGTTTTCATTTTCAGCTTATTTTGCACAACCAGTTCTTTTAAAAAGATGTTTACCAATCGATAAAAATGGAGGGTTTGATTATCAATAAACTATTTATGCTCAAAAAAGCAAAAAGTTGTTTACCAAACATCCCGTTATAAAATATAATTTTATAATCTCAAACGACTATCGTATCTCAGTCAGCATGCTAACGTCCAACTCAACTAATCGACATTTTTTCAACGAAAAGTACGAGTTTGGAACATAATGAATTATCAAGTGACCATTTTGTAAATTTTAATTGTTGAGGACTCAATAAAGAACTCCCAATAATCTAGGAATTATTTTCGAACCCTTGGTCGGACGCGATTGTCGGAGGGGATACAGGGAGTGCCAGAGTGGCGAACCGGGTTTAAGTCATAACCCTAAAAACTCCTCCAGCTCTCTTTATATAAACTCAGCTTTCCATACCCTAAATCTTCCTTCCCTGTTTCCCGTACAGCTAAACACACTTCGCTTTTGTTTTTCAAGAAATCCCCAAACAAAAAACCCTAATTTGGGTTATGTTTTTCGCTGCATTTTAAGTATTTCAAAGGAGCTTTGAGATCATTAGGGTTAATGTTTTCTGGAAAAAGTGAATCAAAAACAATGTTGAAAGACGTGATTCATCCACAAGAGCAGCAGCTCCCCCTTGTAATTCTCCAGTTTCTTCATTATGCATGCATACATACACACATATATAAGATTTCCGGGAAAATTAAGAGATTTTTGAAGAATTTATGTTTTTTTTTGCTTGCATGTGGTTTTACGTATGAAATTCTCATAAATTGCTATTTTATTCGAGATTTTAATCCAATCTTCTAGTTTACGTATAATTCAAAAACCCTAAGAAATTGTCTTCTTTTTACAGGATAATGTTTCGAGTCCGATTAGCGGACCGGTTTTTTATTTTTTCGACGCCGATCCCTTCTCCGACGCCGGCGTGCAAAGCTCGGAGGTGACTTATGGTAATTGCTCCTTCGATGAAAGCAATAACTACGGCGAGAAGCTCACATTGCCACCTTCAGAGACTCCCACTGCTGCTGCCAACAACCCCGTCGTCACAACCACCACAAGTACCACCGTCACAGCCGCCACCTCTGACAATGACAAAAACATGACCAACGACGACGATGATTACAACAACAATCTGTCCATAATCTTCGACTCACCGGACGATATCGACAACGACATTTCAGCTTCCATAGACTTCTTTCACCTTCAATCCCCTTCTAATTTTTCAGTTCCCCCATCATTTTTTACTCAACAAGAACACCAATTTGACCTCTCTTTAGTGCAAAATCAGCTTCAGATGCCCGTCGACGATGGGCTCTCTCAATATGGAGGCGGTGATCACCGTCACATTGTTACGACCGCCTCGCTTATTGGGCCATCACCGCCATCACTGACGTCTGTTTTCGACGACGATTGCTTTTCCTCGATGCCTTCTTTTTATCTGCCTTTAAACCCTTCATCTCCTTCTTGCTCTTTTCTCGGCGGTCATTCTATGGCGGCTTTCATGCCGATGACTGCTGCTTTACCTGCTAATAATAATGAGATTTTTGCCGCCAGCAACATTCTCACGGCTCCTCGTGAACTTTTTCCACAAGACTTGGATTTTCAAGGCGATAATTCTGGGATTTTCTGCCCGGATTCAATGCAACGGATGTTTAAACCCGGAGATCTAGAGGTATACACATGTTTTAAAAAAATTATTAATCCAGTTTAATTGCACTAAACATCCCAAAATCTAATCTAAATTCTAAATTGATCCTAATTGAACTTTGAAAGTATCATTCTGTTATCTGGGTCATTTGATGTTAGATCCAATTAGTCGTAGAGCATATTTAAAACTTAATAGAATTGTATTTTTTTTATATCCTTCCAATAAGTACGTACATACTTATGTTTTAATCTATTTGCACGAACCAAATGACCATAATAGTTAAATTTTTATCCACGTGTATTAAATATACTTAGCATCAGATCTGCGTCGATGTTAATATTTATATCAAAATAACATGTTTTTATTTGTGATGGTTGCAAAAGGAACTAAGCTGTGACAATCAACAAGTGGTAGGAGCAACAATGAGCTCAACTCCTTTAACATCATAGATCTCAAGCTTGGAAGATTCATCTTTTAACAGAGTTGGAAAACTCTCCGTTGAACAAAGAAAAGAAAAGATCCATAGGTACCTGAAGAAACGCAATGAAAGGAACTTCACCAAGAAAATCAAGGTATATATACATATACATATGCCTATCCCTATGCCTATACCTATACCTATACCTATACCTATACCTATACCTATGCCTATGCCTATGCCTATACCTATACCTATACCTATACCTATGCCTATGCCTATGCCTATGCCTATGCCTATGCCTATGCCTATGCCTATGCCTATGCCTATGCCTATGCCTATGCCTATACCTATACCTATACCTATACCTATACCTATACCTATACCTATACCTATACCTATACCTATACCTATGCATATGCATATGCATATACATATCATGGTACCAGATATATGTATACATCTACGTATATGCATGTGCATGCATGAACCAGAGTTTGCTTTGTAGTAAAGTACTTATGTTGCAATGAAATATATGTGTGTAGTATGCCTGCCGCAAGACATTAGCGGATAGCCGACCTCGAGTGAGAGGAAGATTTGCAAAGAATGATGACTTTGGAGAAACCCAAAGGCAAGCTTCTAGCAATCTTGAGGAAGATGATGATGACGATCAAGTAAGATCTATATATGGCTGATTCCACCAGCCGTTCTCGAATTATCATCTAGATTTTAAATCTATCCTTAAACTCTGAAAATGCTCTTCTTAAATCATAAAGTATCAATATCGTATCGGATCAGACCAATTTATCAAGCTCAAAAGTATTAGTTCAGACATTAAATTAATTTCAATTATAATATGACGTACAAAGCATATCGAAAACATTTGGATCAAATTGTTAATACGTATATATCTATTGTATGAACAAAACTGTATATTTTGTATATACGTCGTATCCAAGTTGTTCATGTTGTATATGTGTACACATATTTACAATGTGATTAAAGAGTTTTAAATATGCTCCATGTCATATATATAAGTTTGAGTTTAATGTCTGAATTAATTAGGGCTAAGCCGATAAGAGGACTCTTTCGATATAAATTGATACTTTACAAATTCAATCAGAACTTTCTAAAGTTTAAGGATTAATTTAAAATCTAGACGATAGTTCAAGAATGCTGGTCCAATTAACCCATATATATATTGACAATAATTTTGGTTTAATTTCTCTATCTCGATTTCATGCAGGTTATCATGAAAGAAGATGAAGACATGGTTAATTCCTGGGATATTTTTGCTCATATCAATGGTGTCAACTCCTTTAAACCAAGTTATTCAATTCAATCGTGGATTTAAATATATAATTTTAAAATAATACGAGATTATCTATTATGTTGGATCGGTATAAATTTTTAAAAAAATATAGTTTAAAATAATTAAATAAAAATTATTGATTTGTCTAATTATATAGGAAAATAATGTAAAAAATGAAGAAAATGGAGATTTAGTAAAATTATTTAAGAAATCCACCAAGCCCAATAACACAATTGGACTCTTTTTATTATTTAATACTATGAAATTAGAAAAAGGCCTAATCTTTTTGTGGTCCAAAAAAAATGTCCTACCCGAATTATTATTTACCCAATAAAAACTATTTTATTATTATTTTTCGATCAATCTGTGATAAATACAAGACAATATTTGTTCAAAGATAACTCTTAATCATTTGATATTGAACACTCGAACCGTGCAACTATTTTTATTATAAACATTAATATCTGAATTTTTCAATATTAATTTTTTAAATAGAATATTGTTTTTTGGGCTGACCCGACCCATTGTGGTTTCATAATATATTGAAAAAAGAGTAGGAATGGCAACGGGTCGGGTTCGGGGCGGGTTTTGCTCGCCCCGTCCCCGAAATGAATTCCCATCCCCGACCTGATCCCCGACGGGTTTTTTATCGGAGTGCCCCGTCGGGGATTTTTTTTGTCCCGTCCCCGAACCCGACCCGAAATATTATACCCAAACCCGAACCCAAAAATATTTTATATATAATTAATATAAAAAATATAAAATATTATATATATAATTAATATAAAATATATAAAACATTATATATATATATAAAATCGGGGCGGGGCGGGAAACCTTGCTCCGAACCCGAACCCGACCCGATATCATTCAACCCGACCCGACCCGAACTTGACCGGATTTCGAGTTTTCCCGTCGGGTTCGGGTCATACTGCCATCCCTAAAAAAGAGGTACTTGATAGTGAAATATTACTAAAGTCGTCCTCCTTCAAAAGGCTAATTCAAAAGTTTGAATTCTAAAATCTATAGAATACCAAATAAGAAATAAATAGTTGACTTTTAATTGTGGTCCACAGTGCTTTAGATTTTCAAAGTACCAAACTTATTATATAATGTTAGTAAAGACTTCCAATTATTCCTTCAACCCCCACCCACCCACCCACCCACGCACAGAGACACACTGGATACGAGTATAAATTGATGTATGAGATTAAAAATATATATTTAATTCAAATTTGATGTGTTTTGATCCGATTCGACTATATAGGATCATTTTTTTATTTCGGGTTCAAGTCAGATCGGTTTTTGAGGGTAAGGTTGGATCGAGTTCGACTTTAAGATAAAAAATATTCTATTCGAAAATAATAGCATAATCTACATTTGTATATTTTGAGATACTTGCTATAGTACCCTTCTTTCTATACTTTTTCAATTAAATTCATATTTTACCTAATAAAAATTATATACAAACCGGGCCGAGTGTGAGGTTTTACCTTAAAAATCATGTTAGGTTTCATGTAGGATAATAGGTAGAGGAGTGTTATGTCCAGGTCGAATTTTGGAGAATAAAAATCTAATCAGACTCGACCCATGTATTTGAAATTATCCAAAAATTTTCTCGTGAATTTTTTTTCTCATTTTCTCGTGGAATTTATCTTTAATTTTCATATAATAGAAAACCGATAACATAAAAAAATTCGAAACAATTTATTGCATACATACCCGGACGAAGCTATATAGAGCTTGGGAGGCGCTCTTGCCACTCCCAAAATTTTTGGTTTAATAGTAGTTTAAGTTCTTACCAATTTAAACTTAAATAAAATTGGAATTTTGTCCAACCCCTAAATTTTAGATAAATACATAATAAGTCCTTATTATTTTTAAAATTAATATTTTATCTCTCTCAATGTTTGATCCGAGCTCGGTCGATATTAACATACCTGAGAGGATGAGACAATTACAATGTAGAAAAAATTAATAATATGAATATGACATAATATACATAATTATACATCCATAAGTACATCATGATAAATGGGGTTTTAATTATGTCTAATTATGCTTAATCATTGCACCCACGAACATCTCTAACATGGCTAAAAGTGGCTAATCATAATAAATTTAGCTCGTTTATATACAACTTGAATGATACTATATAGAAGGGAAATGATTTGACAAAATTGAAAGGCTATGAAGTTAGGTATGTTTTTGGAACATGAGGCTTCGGTTCTAGCAAGACAACAAAAGAGGTTGTCATTTTGTCAACAAGGTTGTTGCTTAGCCGGTTCCCAAGAAGATCCAAAGGTTGCTTCGTTTAAAACTTTGATTTTCATTTGATAAAATCTATAATTGTCCCAAAAAAATATGATATTGTGGGCCCATTTACTCTCTCTTACTAAGGAATTGGTTCGGGAAATAGTTCGGATTGGATAATTTTTTTCTCCCGATTCTAAGGTTTGCTTTGACTAATTTAGACGACCATGTTGCATATTTGAATTTGGTGAGTAAGTCCTCCGGAAATGATTTGAATATTTAAAAATAATGATTTAAATTATGATTACCAGTGGCGGAACTTGGCGATAGAGTTTGGGGGTCAACTTAAAATTTTAAAATTTTAGAGGTTTAAATTATGATTTTAATTTTTTGAAGGGTCTAGTTTATTTTTCCCCAAAAAATTAAGGTCCTATAATTTTTTTTGAAATTTTTAGAGGCTGAATGAGAATTTTTAAAAATTATGGGAGGGGTTCAATTAAAAACATTCAAAAAGTTTAAAATTTAATATGAATTTCTAAAAGTATTGGGAGGCCAAATTAATTTTTTAAATATTTAAGGGTTTAAATTATAATTTTTAAAATTTTGGGGGCTCATGGCCCCACTAGTCTAGCTTGTGTTCCACTAGTGATGATTATGATTGTATTTTCAGTTGTATTGTATTTATCAAGTTTACGAACATGACAAATGTTATTATGGCCAATGTAGATATTATGACCATGAATATTTTTAAAAGAATTTACTTTTTAGAAAGAGTTGCTTTAAAAAATAAATTAGTGAAATAATAACGAGAATAATGGTTTGTTATTGTTGTAATTGATCGTTACTCGTTAAATTAAGATCGCGATCCACCAATATTAGTGTGATTTGACTGATTTCGCCTCGTATTGTTATTTTTTACGTTAACAATTTTAAATAATGTTGCTATCTTTATATAATGACCGCTATTTTACTATCTAATCATTATTTAAATCCATAATTAAAAAGGTTTTATTTTAATTTAACTTTAGTACTTTTTTTAATATTAAAATATGAATTATTATTTTATGTACTTCTTGTAGAGAAAAACTATTCCACAAATATATCTATTTTAATATTATTTAACATATTTAAATAATTTTAACCTTAAAACTAAAACCTTGAATTCCAAAACATATAATTATAAGTTTCAAATAAATTACATGATAATAATAAATCAATGTTTGCATAATATTTTTTTCATATATGATGCAATAAATAATTTCTTTAAAGTATATGTGTGTGTATATATATATATATATATTATTTTTAATATTATTTTAAAAAAACTAAATAGTACCAACAACCAGTTGGTCTAGTGGGATGAGGCACTAGGTCCCTTAAGCAAGGTCAGGAGTTCGAATCCTAGCGTTTGCGAATAGACCGAACTGGGTTGGGAGAGTCGCTCTCGTCTCTGTAGTACCTGATCTAGATAGTCGATCAATAGATCGGATACAATAATTAATTAAAAAAACTAAATAAAAATATAGATTGGGTTCACCTTTTAAAATCATTATAAAAATTTAATCCAACCCCAAACTTTAAACATTTCTAGTGTGGTAGTTAAAGATAAAAAGTCAAGGAGTAGAGGCAAATGAAATAATGAAATTTGAAATTTGTATGTTTAAAGACATTAGAAGAAGAAAATTGAATTTGAGTTGTCCATGTCACATGGCACCTAATGCCCCATTAGTGGAGTTAACAACTTTTTTATACACAAAATTCATGTGGTATGGCCCATTAATTGGGCTCACTTTGGCATTGAGACCATCAACCACTAACAAATTTATAATGGATAATAAAAAGTTAAATATGAAATAGATAATGCATGTCGACCTTAGTGTTAAAAGAATTGTTGTTATTCTTTAATGTCTCGGGTTCGAGTACCAGAAATATCAAGTGTGTGAATGTTCACTATCGAATAATTAAAAGTTATCTTTGAATATACACTGTCAGGGTGCACTTTCCCATATTAATTAAAAAAACATGTTTGAATTTATAAGTTTTTAGTAATAATAATCAAATTAACATTATTAGTATATAATTTATAATTTATTAAAGAATTAAGTGATGATATATTATTAAAATTAACTTTAAAATTGACGATGTTTTGGAATATTCGAGTAAAATCGGTTATAGTGAATAAAAAAATAAATTAAATAAAAAAACAAATTAGGGTTCAACAAAAAGAAATAAAATAAACTTAAAAGAGCTTATGAACTGTACAATAAGACAAGAACAACATGCAAAAGATGCAGCAGCATATATTCTAAACACAATTCACAATTTTAATTATAAAAAATCAATTGGCGGAACTAAGGGTTAAATACGTTATTTAGTCTTTTTAATTTTAAAATTAAACAATTTAGTCCTTTTAAGAAAAGAACAATTTAACGCCGGTCAGTACGTGAATCAAGGATAACTAATCATAATGTCAATATTTTCTGCCGATCATATATAATTTCTGTTGACATATTAATATATTTTACTTTTAATATTTGCACATTGTCTCGTTAAAATCCTAATCAATTCTAATAAATATAACAAATTTAACCTTTAACTTTTGCATAGTATGTGCGTGTTAATTTTTTTTTTTTAAATTGGGACCAAATTAAAATAATGTGTAAATATTAAGAGTTAAATTTATGATTATGTTACTCATACATTTGTAAATTTAAAAAATATGAAATCTTTAAAAGTTGACTTTTGAAGATCAATTAATTGATCGAGTGATTAAGGATGCTTAATAAAAAAATAACTTTTGAATTTGATAAGGATTAAAATACTCTCTTTTTAAGTAGGGACTAACTTGCTTAATTTTAAAATTAAAAGGGGTCTAAGAGATTTTCTAACAAAAAATTAATATTGAAAATCTTAATACATAAAGAATATTACACCAACTTGAATAAACTTTGATTTGATCATTGCCATGACTCAAGAAAATTCAAAACCAAGACTATTCTTTTACCTCTCTTTCTCTCTCCTTCACATGAGGCCTTGGAAACATTTTAATTTATTTGAAAAATAAAAAATTCCAAATAAAATCAAACATTAAAACAACAAGAAAGTTCACTTTGATGCAAGTTGCTCTATTTTGGCCCTAGTGGATTCCTCTTCATGTCATGCCTTCCAGCTCAACCTTCCTCTTCATTAAGCAAAAGAAGAACCTTGATTAGTGCCTTGAAAAACAGTTTGCAACTTACGAAATTTTCCTATTAACAATATATATATATACACACACACACACACAGTTCTTGGAAGCTTGTATTGTTTGCCTTCTTCCTTTTTTTCTTCTTCTCTTTCTATCAAACTGTAAAGCTGCCCCCTTTTTTTGTGCAAGTTGAAGCTTTTAAGCTCAAGGATTAATGGGGTGATTAAGCTCTTCTGGATTTGAGTTGTTGATCATTGTTTATTGGATCCATTTCTTTGAGGCAAGAGAAACAAAAAGGTTCAGCTTTTTACTTTTCTATGCATAAAAGTTTGCAACTTCTTCTTCTTTATTCTAACTTTGATTTTGATAGCAATTGATTCCCAGCTTTGTGCTAAAGTTTGAGTGTTTTTTTCTGGTTAACTGTTTCATTTTCTTTTGAATTTCAGAAACCCCATTTTCATACTATTGGATGGTTCTGAGTTCAATTTAAATGCTATTATGTGTTGTGTGTTTGTGATTTGCTCATGATCTTGATGTTGACTTAGTCAAGCTTTTTAAATTTGATTGTAGGCCATAATTATGGTACATAGACATTGAAAAGAAAGTATTATAAGTATCGATTCTGAATGTTAATTAATTAATTACTTCTAATTTACATGTTGCTTTGCTTTTATATCATATACAGACACCAGGAGCATAAATGTAAAAAAGGACAAGGGAAAGCATATGTTCTTGTTGATTACTTTCACTTATTAAAAGTTGTCATTTTCTTCTTAAATTTAATCTTTTCCCCTTGGAGATTTTAGGTAATTTTGGCTGAGTTGGCTGTTTTTTTCCCTTGTAGATTACCTTTTTTTGCTGTCTTAATTAGGACAATGGGAATCTAAGTACCTGGTTATGCAGGGGAATCACCTACTTTGGATATCATACATACATACATGCATGCATGCATACATTGTTCAAGATCTTTAATGGCTGCAAGCTTTCCTGGGATGCTTGGAAGGTTTCAGAGTGTATGTTTTCCTTATGTATGCATGTGTGTGTGTACATATATGCCTTTCTTTGTATCTTTCTCAGTGTCTAGAATACTTTGTTTGCTAACATAATTAGGACAATGGGAATATTAGTGTCTGGTTATGCAGGGGAATCGCTTACTTTGGATGTCAAACATGCATACATACATTGTTCAAGATCTTTAATGGCTGCTAGATTTCCTGTGATGCTTGGAAGGTTTCAGAATGTATGTTTTCCTTGTAAATGTATGTGTGTGTGTATGTATGTATGTCAATATGTGTGTATATGAATATACATATATACCTTTCTTTGTATCTTTTTCAGTGTCTAGAGATCATGATGTAATTCATCATCTTATTCGACAGATTTCTTGTGGAGTTTGAATCGGGCGGAAAATGGTAACGATGTGTGCCCATCATTAGGAACTATATATTTGATCCGAGACCGAAGATGGACGACACATTTGGTAATGGTCGGAAAGACGACGAGGGTAAAGACGAGTCACTGCGAAACTTGGAAGAAAACAGGGATGTTTTGGGAGAGAATGGAACGGATTATTACGAATTAAAATCGAAAAAGCTGGCTAGAAGGGCAACTCCACAGCATTCTCTAATAGGAAATGCTGGTAAACGATTTCCAAGTATTTTTAGCTTAGGCAATATGGTTCCGAGGCATATGATTACTCTAGATGAGAAATACCTTCGACGTTGCCTGGAATTGCTTCGTATCAACACGACGAAAGCAGCTCATTGCGACATACCCGTGAACTTGAGCTCAGTAAAAATGGACATTTTGTCTGGTGCACTGAATTCAGCTAAAATCGGGGATGAAGATGCTTGTGAATTCGGAAGGTTTGTTTTCGACTGTCCACCGGCAGTTGGGACCGCTGGAGTAGTCATTCATCCTGTGGAACAGTGGGTCGTAGGTTCTAAAAGGCGCAGTCGGAGTATGGCAAATATCTCGAAGAGCCCATTGTTACAGAAATTTGGTCCACTCGACGTCGATCCAAGTTCAAATGACGTTAAAAGAAGGATAAGTTATGACTTAATGAGCTCTCCCGGTGGTTTCAGTAACTATTCCTCGCATAAGCTAGGAAGCGAAACACCCATGTCCGAAAATCGTAAATACAGATCCAAGACTGTGCATAAAAGGTTAAGTTCCAAGTCGAGTACAAACTCAACATATTCTGATCAGTCCGTTTCTTCGACTTCGACAATTTCTCGGGGAATGCTTCAATGCACATGGAAGGGTGGGAATCCGTATTTCGTTTTCTCCTTGGATAATCAGAGGGAGTTATACGTAGCCAGTATGTGGAAGGAAGGATCAGCTCGGGGTAACAGTCCGGACTGTATCTACTTGTTCCATTCAAGCAAGGGTAGACACAAGGAACATGGGATTAGTGACATCGAGTCGAACCTTGTCGGTAAGATGAAGGTATCGAGTTCGTTCTCGATATGTCCCAAAGGTTCTAAAATCAAGGAGACGGAGTTTGTTTTGTTTGGTGGTATCGAAACTTGAATCCGGAGATTCAAACTTCGAGCCATAACGACAGGAAGAATAAGGGTCTACAGAAAAAGGTGGTAGAAGCATTCAAGAGCAGTCATTCGTCCAAGCTGAGAACAAGGTCGTCTACTTCCATAATGGAGGATTCTTCTTGGGGTCCATGCCAAGATGCAGTCAACAATTCCGATTCACTCGATACGACGACAAATCACTCAGAGAAGGAACTTCCACCGAATCTTGAATTGACTGCTATTGTTGTGAGGAACCATCTTCCTAAAATCCTCTGCCCGAAGTCGGGGGTTGGGGCTTAAAGTTTCTCCGGAGAACGGCGGGTAAGCAACATGTTGAAACCGTGGAAGCCTCAGTTTCATGTGCTTGTTCTCTGAATACCGGTGATTGCTCGACAAGTATGGATATTCTAGTTCCTGCAGGTATTCATGATGGTCCAAGAACCAGAAATGGTGGCCCCTCTAGTCTTATCGACAGATGGAGATCCGGTGGACATTGCGACTGCGGCGGCTGGGATTTGGGCTGTCCGTTGACTGTACTTAAATCCAGATCAAGTAAAGAACCATGTTTGCCTTCGACGGATACATTCGATGCGTGCAAGCTATTCGATTTTTTCGTTCAGGTATTGTCACTATGATTTAACCTCAATTGCAATGTTAGAAAATATCGAACAACAGATGGTACAACCCGAATAATCATTGCGATAACCATTGCCTCTACTTCGAAAATTTTCAGGGCTTGAAGAACGGTTCTCCGACGTTGAGGATAGCAAACGTTCGTGATGGCCTGTATTATATTCATTTTCAATCAGCACTCTCAGCCCTGCAGTCTTTCTCAATTGCAGTCGCATACATCCATGCGCAAAGTCCGGGTTTCCGACCGGAAAACATAAAGCCGACGAGGTAGCAAGTTCCGGGTCCGAAGTTCATGTTAGTTGTCACCTTCTCACCATGCCATGACAGTATGTAAGTTTGAAAATTTAGGTATTTACACACGAACCGTGATCGGTATCTTATATCGGTTGTTCATAATAGAATGGAGAGTTAGATTGAGTGAATTTTTACCAAATGTATTCTATACCTTGTAACCATTAACTAAGATTTGCAGTTATGCTTGAACAAATTTAAAGATTTCTTATACATGTCTAAACTGGATATATTCGAATCGGATCGGAGTGTTAGAGGTATAACAATCCAAGACGATAAAACAATAATTATAATCAAAATATATTATTTTTTTATTTTTTTTTTTGTTGTCCTCCCGATTTCAAAGTCTTACCTTGATTAATTTGGACCGATTGACACGCGGGTATAAGGGCAAAATAATTTACCCGGGAGCTGTAATGGGCCAATTTTGCCCTTATTTCCTTGGTAAAATTGGCCAAATAGGTCAAGTGAGTGAAAAAAGTAGCACATTAGACCATCTCGAAAATTAATTTGGGATCTACCGAAAATGAAACAGTACAAGGCAAACTCGTCACGTCCATATAATGAGATTTTTCAAATAATATTTTTGATGGAATAAATTCAAAGTCATTGTCAAAGTCACTGTGGTAAATGTTATAGTTCCCAAAATAAAAAAAAATCTGATGTCGTAATGGGCTAAATAATTAGCCCGTTTACAGTATTGGGCCAAAATTATCTATTTCATCAGCCTTTTAATTATGGAGAATGACCAAAACCCATTAATCAGTTCAAAACCCAAACCTACCATAGAAGATTGAAAACTGAAAATCCTACTCTGTTGTCTTTTTTCCCTAAAAGAGAGAGAGAGAGAGAGAGAGAGAGAGAGAGAGAGAACGCATGGCAAGCGCGGCGGCGGAAGTTAACGCCGTACCGGAGGAGGTTGTAGCAGAGAAACAACCACATAAACTTGATAGAAAATGGACCTTTTGGTTCGATAAAGAATCAAGCCTAAGCAAGGCGCCGCTTGGGGTTCTACTTTACGCAAAGTTTACACTTTTGACACCGTTGAAGAATTTTGGTGGTACTTTTATCGAACACCCATCTGTCCTTTTCACCTATATTTCAAAGATCTGTTGATTTTCAGCTGTTTTTTTGTCTTGCTCGATTTATAGGTTGGGTGGTTGATCTGAATTTATTTATTGTAGATTTGCTTTCTTTTAAACAGAAATGGTATTTTGTTTTGTGTTTAAAATGTGAAATTTGGTGTTTTATCTGAATTCTTAGCTATTAGCTGCATTCGATGTGACATTCTAATGTTGTACTATATAATTGATGGTATATATATATATATATATATATATATATATATATATATATATCTGTGTGTGTGTGTGTGTGTGAATTTGTATCATATCATTGGATATCGTATAATTTTCATGGTTTAGTTATTTTTCAATGTTTTGTTCATGTTTGTGTGATATTGTTGAACTTGTCCATTTTTCCCTGTGATTCAGTTAATCGGTATCTCTGCCGGTTAGCTTCGAGGGAACTTGAGTTGTTTTTTTGTTATTTTTCGATTGTTGCAATTACAGTATGGAGATAACCTTTTTTCATGTTTCAGTTTGTATGATCAAATATTCAAGCCGAGCAAGTTGCCCCCGGGAAATGCTGATTTCACTTGTTCAAGGCTGGAGTCGAACCCAAATGGAAGACCCCGAATGTGCTAATGGTGGGAAGTGGACTGTTATTAGCAATGGAAAGGCTAATCTCGAGACGATGTGGCTTGAAACTGTGAGTACTTTGTGCCTAACCAATATGCTTACTGCGATGTGAATCATAGACAGATACGTCGGGATTTTGGTTTACTTGTCGTCTTTTGTTTTGCAGTTGATGGCATTGATCGGGGAGCAATTTGATGAGTCGGATGAGATTTGTGGCGTGGTGGCTAGTGTACGTCAAAGGCAGAACAAACTTGCATTGTGGACCAAGACATCAACAAACGAGGCTGCTCAGGTATAGGAATATTTTGTGAGACCGTCTAAGTATCAATGTTTCCTAAATGTGTTCATGGATTTAATTTTTTTGCTCATTTATCCTGACCCCCCCCCCCCCCCGGGAAATTTATGCTCATAAGCTTTTCTAAGTTCTACTTCGAACTTAGTGATCGACCACTGCAAAATATTGTTTATTGGTTTATGCATGTGAAATTTATGCTCATACTTGTTTTGATGTTTCTATGCTTTTGATACGACAATGACATGCTTAAATCTACCTCTGTTTGCTGTTGCATTGCTTGACATGTTTATGCATATGACATTCATATCGAGTCCGAGCAACATAGGTTGTAATGTATAATTTGTAAAAGTACACTGAGGTATTGGTCACCACTTGTCGATTATGTCACGCATTTGTTGACCGATGTATGATTTTGAACTTCTTCTAATTGCACGTGTTGGCGCTAATTCGAACCCTTTTTTCTAGATGGGCATTGGTAGGAAGTGGAAGGAGATAATCGATGTCAACGATAAAATTACATATAGCTTCCATGTAAGTGTTTATTCGGCTGGTATTTGCGACCTAAAATGCTTATCTCTTATTGTGACCGGGTGCTTTGATCGTTGTAGGACGACTCAAGAAAGGAAGATCGGCAAAGGCCGATACAATGTTTGAATATCTTTGTGTTTTCTAATTTCGGATTCGAATTCGGATAATTGGAATATTTTGAACGTGAGTTGTTTTTTTTCTAAGTTAATACCATCCAAGATCAAAATTTTATGTTAAGAGAGATTTTTGATGTTCTACATATGATAAATTACCATATTTTATGAATCTTTAATTTACCCAATTGATCGTTTCTTAGATAAAAATCTACCCATTAAATGGTGTTTATGGTAAAAGAAAGGAGTTCTGAGTTCGAACAATTGTGTCAATTTTTATATAGATTTTGACGTATTTGTATTATTTCTAAAATGATGTTTCTTAGAAAAAATCTACCCATTAAATGGTGTTTATGGTAAAAAGAAAGGAGTTCTGAGTTCGAACAATTGTGTCAAGAAAGTGTGTCTTAATGTTAAGTAACTAAAAATGGTTGTTCATTGTTCTCATATGTAATGGGGTAAGGGGAAGGTAAGATAGTAGGCTGTCTCCAACACTAGGTTGAAAACAGCTTCCGTTGGAGACCTCCAAATTATGAAATGCCTTCCATGAGACTCGATCCCACGACTTCAAGGTTAAAAACCTTATGCTCTACCAACTGAGCTGGATGGTCATTTCTTGTTAAGTAACTAAGAAAATTTTAAATATGTATCTAGGGATGGGTATGGATTGGGTTTTTGGTCCACCCGACCCGAGAAAGGGATCCTCCACCCGATATCGACTCAACCAAAACAAGATTCAACCGACCCGAACCCAACATGATAAATAAACTTAGAAACCTAACTTGACTTGAAATAATAATAAAATGTATTTTATTCAATAAAAAAGTGATTTAATTGGAAAAAAGTATATATAGAGGGGTAATTTTGTAATTATTCTTAAATATATTGTAACACCCCAACCCGTATCCGATCCGAATACGAGTCCGAGATGTCACATTGTCTTTTTAAACATTTCCTTACAAAATAAAAACATTTGAACATATTTTAAGAAAATACTATATAAATTATGAATTATGTTTATTATAAATTTTAGGTAAAAAGTATTTGTGTACATTAAAATACGAATGAACAACAATCGATAGTACCGTGAACGGTAATGCTATAGTACCTACTACAGTACTTTCGTAAAGTACATAAAACTCGTAAAAATTTAACTGTCCATTACTATACATTTACATTTACATAAATACGTTCAAAACATTAGAAAAGATTAGAGCGTTAGTATTAACAACTCATTATTTCTTACATACCAACATTATACACAATCAAAATACATACTTTATTAATTATTCTGATCTTATCTTCTAGCAGTGTTGTTGTTTTTTGCCACTTCTATTTCTGCTAATCTTGGTTCTTCGTACCTACGCTTAAATTGCTTACACAGTAAGTCATAGACTTAGTGAGGCATCACAATAACAATGAAATATAACAATGATGTTATAATAAAATGAAACGTAACGAAAACATCTATGTAATCAATGTAAGCTATAACAATGTACCTTACCAAAATCTTCTCAATTTAATCATCATAAATTCATATAATAATTCTATAAGTTCAATAGATTCAATAGCCCATGATACAATACTGAACCCGATATGTGAGTACTGTGAGGTTGTACACTATGTTGTCACCACAACTCATATAAATTTGCACCGAAGTGCCACGTAGAATTTGTCCGAAGGACCGCGTAGAGATGCACGAAGTGCCACGTACATATACGTCCCAAGGACCACGTATAATTTTTTCCCAAAGACCGTGTAGACCATCTACTCTTGGCATGCCAACTATACTTATAGTTCATCTACATAACATGGGCTTTTACATTTCACGTAGTGTATCTCATAGACATATCATATTTTCATATATTCATATATCATAAATCATGTCACATATAATAACATATGACACATATACTCACATTCAGGTACTCATGCACATATAAGTATCATATCATTCACATGTTTGTACTTATGGAATCATACATTTAAATACAAAAAGACCAGAAGAGGTTTTCGCATAAGGCGTTGGCACGGCTTATTCATTTTGAGCTATCGCAAAAAAGGTCTTCAGTTAAGGCGTGGGCACGGCTTATTCATTCTAAGCTATCGCAGAAGAGGTCTTTAGTTAAGGCGTGGGCACGGGTTACTAGTTCATGTAAAATAATTTTAGGAGTCCCTTCTTACTATAATAACTCCGTCACTGACTCATCGCAAGTTAATGTTTATTATATAAAAATAAGTACAAATTAAATTTGCACTCATATAACTTTTCTTGCATATTCATGTCACATAATGCATATAATATAAATTCATGTCATGTATCATAATATGGAATGTGATCATGTATCAAAATATTGAATCTAGACTTATCACAAGTCTAGAAACTGATTATAACACTATGTTCATGCTATGCATATGCACTCACCTAAATCTCTTTGCCTTTCCCTCGATCGATCTTACTTGTCCCTTGTTCCGGAACTCGTTTAGGCTCGATATCTACATGAACATAATTTTCGAGACAATTATCAAAATCCTAAGCCTTGCAATTAACCTCTAACAGCTTAAACAAATTTAATGAACCAATTTTAACTTTTCCTTTAGGGAAAATCGATTCCCCCCAGGGGGTATCGGTTCCCTCTGCAAAATCTGTAAATTTTACTATTCAAGCCCGAAAATCATCAACCCTTCACTAAATTTTCTCATACAAAGTTCCTTTCATACTACCAAACTTAACTAAAACCATTTTAACTAACTTCTATCATTTCAACACTTTATTATTTCCAATATTTCATCCAAATTCTTAAAACTAAGAATCATACCCAAATTTCAAACCTGTTATTAATCAATTCTAACACTCTATATTCCTTAATTAACCTCTTGACAAGTCAAAAATCTTATTCAAACCTCAAAAACTCATCCATATCAAAATTTCATCTAAAAACCCATTTTTCAAATCTATCTCTAAAACATTTATCTTGTTGTTTTAATGTCATATAAGCTTTCCTTTAGCTTATATAACATCCAAACTTCAATTTCCAAACTAAAAATCAAAGAAACGACCAAGGTTTAGATTCTTACCTTAAGCTTGGGTGCCTTACGTTGAGAGAAGAAGATGAAGAAGATAAGTCTCTGAAAACTTATCTCTTCAATTCATTCATATGGGTATTATAATACCCACAATTTATTATTTTATTCCTTTATTTGCTCAATGACCCTTTTACCCTCTTATTTCTCCTTCACTTATTAATCAATCCTACACCAACATCTTTCAATTAATTCCTTCACTTTTCAATTTATTTAGTTTGGTCATTGAATAAAAAAAATATCTTACACTTAAATCACTAACCCGGTACTGAGGATGTTACAAATCTCCCCTTCTTAAGAAAATTCGTCCTCGAATTTTCATTGTACGAATAGATAGGGGTACTGATGCCGCATATCTTCTTCACGTTCCCACGTTGCTTCTTCTACCTTATGATTTCTCCATAGCACTTTGACCAAATGAATAGTCTTATTCCTTAGTTGTTTCACTTCGTGAGCTAATATTTGAACATGTTCTTCCTCATAAGTCAAGTCAGGTCGAACCTCAATCTCTTCTGGTGTCACGATATGAGAGGGATCAGATCTATATCTCGAAGCATTGAAACGTGAAAACATCATGTATCTTTTCCATCTCAGGGGGTAAAGCTAGCTGATATGCCACATCCTACTCTTTACAATCTAAAGGTCCAATAAATCTAGGACTCAATTTTCCTTTCCGACCGAATCACAATACTTTCTTCCAAGGAGAAACTTTTAAGAAAACTTTTTCTCCAACTTCAAATTCAATTTCTTTTCTTTTGAGATCAGAATAGGACTTTTGTCGATCAAATGCCACTTTGAGATTATGTTGAATATCTCGAACTTTCTCTTCCACATCTTGAATCAAATCCAGACCAAGAACACTTCGATCTTTGAGTTCATACCAGTTTAATGGCGTACGACATCTTCTTCCATATAAAGCCTCATAGGGTGCCATCTTGATACTGGACTGGTAACTATTGTTGTAAGCAAATTCGGCAAGTGGCAAATATCTTTCCTACGATCCCTTGAATTCAATTACACAAGCTCTCAACATATCTTCTATGATTTGGATCGTTCGCTCAGATTGTTCATCAGTCTGGGGATGAAATGATGTGCTGAAGTTCAGTCGTGTGCCTAATGCTCCATGCAAGGTTTTCCAAAATCTCGAGGTAAAGCGAGGGTCTCGGTCAGAAACTATAAAAATAGGTACACCATGCAATCGTATAATTTCTCTAATGTACATTTCTACGTACTTTTCCATAGAGAAATCTGTTCTAACCGGAAGGAAATGCGCTGACTTAGTCAGACGATCGACAATTACCCAAATTGAATCTATTTTGTTCGGAGTCAAGGGTAACCCCGAAACAAAATCCATTGTCACATTTTCTCACTTCCATTGTGGAATAGAAAGCAGTTGCAATAATACTGATGGAACTTGATGCTCGGCTTTGACTTGTTGACAAGTCAAACACTTAGATATAAATTATGTAATGTTTTTCTTCATTTCAGACCACCAATATCGACTCTTGAGGTCCATATACATTTTGTTTCCTCTAGGGTGAATCGTTAATGGACTACAATGACCTTTCATTAATAGATCATTCTTTAACTCATCATCATTTGGAATTATTAGCCTCCCTTGATAATATAGGTTCCCATCAGCTTTCATCTCATAATCTGTACACTCTCAATTCCTTATTTGTTGTAGCTTCTTTGAACATTTTTCATCCCTATCTTGCAATTCTTTAATTCGATCTAACCATGATGGCTTGAGAGTCAATTCGGCACAAATAACACCATCTTCACTTAATGATAGTCTAGCATCCATAGCTCTTAAGGTTGCAAACGTCTTTCGGCTTAAGGCATCCGCTACCACATTTGTTTTTCCCGGATGAAAATCAATCACAACATCATAATCCTTGAGAAATTCCACCCATATTCTCTGTCTTAAATTTAACTCTTTCTGAGTCATCAAGTACTTTAGACTCTTGTGATCTGTATATAAATAACATTTTTCACCATACAAGTAGTGACGCCAAATTTTAAGAGCGAACACTACTGCAGCCATCTCCAGATCGTGCGTTGGATAATTCTTTTCGTGCGATTTTAATTGCCTCGATGCATATGCTACCACCTTGCCATCTTGTATCAATACACATACCACCCCATTATGGGATGCGTCACTATATACCATAAAATTCTTACCGGATTCAGGTTGAAGCAATACAGGAGCTTCTGTCAAAATCTTCTTTAGTCTTTCAAAACTTTCTTGACACTCTTGAGTCCAAGCAAATTTTACCTCTTTCCTCAATAACTTGGTTAGGGGTAATGCTATTATTGAAAAGTTTTTAACGAATCTTCGGTAATAACCAGCTAACCCCAGAAAACTCCGGACTTCTGACACATTCTTTGGAACTTCCCATTCTAAAATAGCTTTAATATTTTGGGGATATACTCGAATTTCTTCTGCAGAAATCACATGTCCAAGGAAAGTCACTTCCTTCAACCAGAATTCACATTTGGAGAGTTTGGCATACCCAGAAAACTCCGGACTTCTGACACATTCTTTGGAACTTCCCATTCTAAAATAGCTTTAATTTTGGGGATATACTCGAATTTCTTCTGCAGAAATCACATGTCCAAGGAAAGTCACTTCCTTCAACCAGAATTCACATTTGGAGAGTTTGGCATAAAGCTTCTTTTCTCTTAGAATTTACAAAACGATCCTCAGATGTGTGCCATGCTCTTCTTGGGATTTCGAGTACACCAATATGTCATCAATAAGACAAAAAAACTGATCCAAATAGGGCTAAAAAATCATGTTCATGAGGTCCATGAAAGCAGCTGGTGTATTCGTAACTCCAAATGGCATCACGATAAACTCATAATGACCATATCTCGTTCTAAATGCCATCTTTGGAATATCCTTGTCTTGAATCTTTAATTGATGATAATCAGAACGTAAATCAATTTTTGAGAACACTGAAGCTCCCTTTAACTGATCAAATAAATCGTCAATTTGGGGAAGGGGATACTTATTCTTGATGGTCACTTTATTGAGTTGCCTATAATCAATGCAAATACGCATTAAACCATCTTTCTTTTTGACAAACAAAACCGGAGCTCCCCATGGTGAGACACTCGGTCTAATAAATCTCTTTTCTAGCAACTCTTGTAATTGCTTCTTTAATTCTTGCAATTTTTCGGAGCCATACGATAAGGTGTCATTGCAATAGGAGCTATTCCCGGCATAACTTCAATTTGAAACTCTACCTCTCTATCTGGAGGTAATCCTGGTAACTCAGCAAGGAACACATCATGAAATTCTTCGACTATCAGAACCTCATCTAACCCTTTCTCTTTAACTCTTGTACCTACTACATTTGCAAGAAAACCTTGACATCCTTGTAGCATCAACTTCTTTGCTGCCATTACCGATATTACATTTGTTAAAGGATTAATTCTTTCACTAATCACATTTACTTCCATCCCTTCTGGACTCTTCAGGTTTACATTTTTCAATCTACAATCAACATTTCCATAATAACGAAACAACCAATCCATTTCTAGAATCACTTCGAATTCCTCAAAAGGTAGTTCCATCATATTAGCAGGAAATTTAATTCCCTGAATCTTTAGAGGACACCCCTTACAAACCTTGTTTACCCGAGCACTATACCCTAAAGGGTTAGTTACTATCACCTCATTACTCGTAGCCTCTAATGGAATTCTCAATTCTTTACTAATTACTGGTAATATAAGAATAATTGGAACTCGGATCAATCAACACCAATACTAATTTATCATACAGCTGGAAAGTACCTGCTATAATATCGGGATCATCACGGTCTTCACTTGTCTTTAAATTGTATACTCGTGCACTGGAGCGAATTTCAGGTTGTGTAGAGGATTCAGATTGATTCCTTCCTCTTCCTAGTCCTCTTTGTGAGGCAGAAACATTTCTTTCAGATGGCGCAGACTCACCAACCATTAATGGGCAATCCCGAATGAAATGTCGGCTTCACCGCATCGAAAACAGACTCCAGAAGCCATTCGATATGTTCCAAAATGATTTTTCCCACAAAGCTGACACTGTCTTGCTTGACCTGAAGTGGATCTCCCAATACCAGATCCCACTGATTGTGTCTGTAGAGCTCTCATCTGACTTGCTCCTCTAGCAGAAGATGCAATTGTTTCTGATCTAGCTTGAGGTTGGAATCTTGAATCTCTTCCTCTTTTTGGTAGTGTTGTGCTTGAAAAAACACATATCCTCTTAGATGTTTGAACTTTTGAGTCCCCAAATCTCTCATTTTAAGCTCTTTCAAGAGCTTTAGCACGATTAATCACCTCTTAGAATGAGGACAAGTTCAGTACTATCAGCATCTCTTTCAATCTAGGGTGCAAGCCCTCCACAAACCATTCACAAGAATCTTTTTCTGTAGTCACAAGCTCTGAAGCAAACCAACTCAGCTTATTAAATTCACATTCATATTCGTATACGGAGCGATTCATCTGCTTCAAATTCATGAACTCCTGCTTTATTTGTCTGATGAATTGATCTCCAATATACTTGTGTTTAAATTCCTCCAAGAACAGAGACCACATCAACTGGTCACTTGACATCCTCATGGTGACGTTCGTCCACCATATCCTTGCTTGACCCCTTAGTAATGACACAACTCCATCCAGCTTCTCTATTTCAGAACAGTGAAGACCATCTAACATGATTTTCAAATCATTCAGCCAAAGATCCGCTGCAACTGGACCTTCCTCTGCTTCTCCCTTAAATTCGGGAGCTCCTAATCCTCTCAACTCCTTTGCTACATTTACTCTGGGAGTTGATGGAGCAGGAGGTTGGAAAGCAATACTGCATCTAATGTTCTAAAGAACACATCTTGATCAGCTACAGGCACTAGAAGGTGTCTGTTCTTCACTATGCCTGGCCAGGGTAGGTGAATTACTGCTTTCAGCGGGTCTATCTCCCGTTCATTCTTAGAACTACCTTGTCCGGATATCTATAAAAATACAACCATAATTCTATTAGCAAAACAACACTAATATTCCATTCGATCAGAAGTTTTCACTATTTGTTAGCATGTATACATTATATGATACTCTAGACTCCGGTTTATACCGAGAATCGACTAAACCTTAGCTCTGATGCCATTAAATATAACACCCCAACCCGTACTCGATCCGAATACGAGTTCGAGATGTCACATTGTCTTTTTAAAACATTTTTCATTACAAAATAACAAACATTTGAACATATTTTAAGAAAATACTATAATAAATTATTGAATTATGTTTATTATAAAATTTTAGGTAAAAACGTATTTGTGTACATTAAAATACGAATGAACAATAATTTGCTACAGTACCGCAAACGGTAACTGTTATAGTAACCTGCTACAGTACTTTCGTAAAACGTACATAAAACTCGTAAAAATTTAATCGTTCATTACTATACATTACATTTACATAAATACGTTCAAAACATTAGAAAAGTCGATCAGAGCGTTAGTACTAACAACTCATTACATTTCTTACATACCAACATATTATACACAATCAAAATACATACTTTATAATTACTTCTGATCTTATTTCTAGCAGTGTTGTTGTTTTTGCCACTTCTATTTCTACTAATCTTGGTTCTTCGTACCTACGTGTAATTGCTTACACAGTAAGTCATAGACTTAGTGAGTCATATACAATAACAATGAAAATATAACATGATGTTATAATAAAATGAAACGTAACGAAAACATCTATGCAATCAATGTAAGCTACATAACAATGTACCTTACCAATAATCTTCTCAATTTAATCATCATAAATTCATATAATAAATTTCGTAGTTCAATAGATTCAATAGCCCATGATACAATACTGAGAACCCGAGGTATGTGAGTATGTGAGGTTGTACACTATGCTGTCACCACAGCTCATATAAATTGCACCGAAGTGCACGTAGAATTTGTCCCGAAGGACGCGTAGAGATGCGAAGTGCCACGTAGAATTCACGTAGTGCTATATAATATGTCCTTAAGGACCACATAGAAATTCCTAAGAATCATTACATATACCAAGGATCAAGTAAATGTCTCAAAAGACATCATACCTTCTCTAAAGAATACATATACGTCCCGAAGGACCACGTAGAATTTTGTCCCGAAAGAACCGCGTAAACTCTACTCTTGGCATACCAACTATACCTATAGTTCTCATCTACATAATATGGGCTTTTACATTTCACGTAGTGTATCTCATAGACATATCTATTTTCATATATTCATATAATCATGTAAATCATGTCACTATAATAACATATGACACATATACTCACATTCAGGTACTCATGCACATATAAGTATCATATCATTCACATGTTTCTACTTATGGAATCATACATTCAAATACGAAAAGACCAAAAGAGGTTTCCGCATAAGGCATGGGCACGGCTTATTCATTTTGAGCTATTGCAGAAAAGGTCTTCAGTTAAGGCGTGGGCACGGCTTATTCATTCTAAGCTATCGCAGAAGAGGTCTTTAGTTAAGGCGTGGGCAGGGGTTACTAGTTCATGTAAAACAATTTTAGGAGTCCCTTCTTACTGTAATAACTCCGTCACTGACTCATCGCAAGTTAATGTTTATTATATAAAAATAAGTACAAATTAAATTTGCACTCATATAACTTTTCTTGCATATTCATGTCACATAATGCATATAATATAAATTCATGTAATGTATCATAATATGGAATGTGATCATGTATCAAAATATTGAATCTAGACTTATCACAAGTCTAGAATGATTATAACACTATGTTCATGCTATGCATATGCACTCACCTAAATCTCTTTGCCTTTCCCTCGATCGATTACTTGTCCCTTGTTCCGGAACTCGTTTAGGCTCGATATCTACATGAACATAATTTTCGAGACAATTATCAAAATCCTAAACCTTGCAATTAACCTCTAACAGCTTAAACAAATTTAATGAACCAATTTTAACTTTTCCTTTAGGGGGAATCGATTCCCCCCAGGGGGTATCGGTTCCCTCTGCAAAATCTGTAAATTTTACTGTTCAAGGCCGAAAATCATCAACCCTTCACTAAATTTTCTCATACAAAGTTCCTTTCATACTACCAAACTTAACTACAACCATTTTAACTAACTTCTATCATTTCAACACTTTATTATTTCCAATATTTCATCCAAATTCTTAAAACTAAGAATCATACCCAAATTTCAAACCTGTTATTAATCAATTCTAACACTCTATATTCCTTAATTAACCTCTTGACAAGTCAAAAATCTTATTCAAACCTCATAAACTCATCCATATCAAAATTTCATCTAAAAAACCCATTTTTCAAATCTATCTCTAAAACATTTATCTTGTTGTTTTAATGTCATATAAGCTTTCCTTTAGCTTATATAACATCCAAACTTCAATTTCCAAGCTAAAAATCAAAGAAACGACCAATGTTTAGATTCTTACCTTAAGCTTGAGTGGCTCACGTTGAGAGAAGAAGATGAAGAAGATAAGTCTCTGAAAACTTATCTCTTCAATTCATTCATATGGGTATTATAATACCCACAATTTATTATTTTATTCCTTTATTTGCTCAATGACCCTTTTACCCTCTTATTTCTCCTTCACTTATTAATCAATCCTACACCAACATCTTTCAATTAATTCTTTCACTTTTCAATTTATTTAGTTTGGTCATTGAATAAAAAAAATATCTTACACTTAAATCACTAACCCGGTACTGAGATGTTACATATATAAAGTAAAATTATATTTTTTTTTTCGGGTCGGGTATTTTTCACCCTAAACCCAAATCAGACCCGATCCAAACATCACAGTTAAAAAAACCCGACCTGACCCAACCCGACCGGAACCCGAAATCTAAAAAAAACCCGACCCTATCAGGTCAGATTCGGGTCCCATGCTTATCCCTATATTTATATTCTTGTAATCTCTTTATATTAACAAAAACTAATAATAATATTTTCTAAAATTTATATTAATCAAATTGGTTAATTATATTTGATATCTGATTTTAAATAAAGTACCAAATATATTTTAAACTTAAAATTCTAAAAGTACTTTTATAAGTATACATTTATTTATGTATAATATTTTCATTTGTTCATGATTTTTTAATATTTACTATATTATTTTTGTGTTTATTAGAAATAAAACTTAATTTATCAAACAAAATTATAATTGAAACTTAATTAATTTTTGTTGACAAAATTAACAAATGCTGAGGACCTAAATATATCTTAGTCCCGTTTTATGTATTTTTTTTATTTCTAATTAATTTTAGTTTGAGTTATCTTAATTGTAAGGTTAATTATTCAATTTATTAGAATTTCAGTTCAGTTCTTATACTAAATAATTTTAATTAGTATTTTAGGTAATTTAAAAAAACTATTTTCGTTATCAAAATCATTTCATATAAAAAAATCATAATTTAAAACTAAAAATAGATTAAATTGTTAAAAGTTTAGATTAAATTGTACAATATTCTATCTTATCTTAAAAGATGATATTTGTACATATCAAGACAGTATAAACACGTTTAATTCTCACCTTTATGCTCCAAGTTTCGTCGATACATCTCACCCAATAGAAAATGCTTACCTGATTGGTTTTTTATTTTAGAGATGATTTCAAAGGTTTCACCTTTTTTTCTTTAATTTTTTCTATATTTTATGGATTAAATTTATCATTTCATCTCAGTGTTTTTTTGTTAGTATTGTCTCGTATTTCGTTGCAGGTCAAAAGCTTGTTTCTTGCTTACTTTTTCCATCACTTTCCCAGGAAAATAAGACTCTTCGCTGATTGAGAATTTTTGGCCTGTTTTGAAATTCTTCCTCAAGTTTCATGTCTTTTTCCCCTAGTTTCCCTCTTGGAGATTGGATTTGAGTTTTATGGTTTTCATTATGGTGTAAGAGACAATGAGTTGGCTTTCTTCTTGGGATTTATCAGATTGAAGGATTTCACTTTCCACCCATTGAAAAACCCAGAATAAAAATAAATTTTTGAATTTTGGGGTTAGGGTTTGATCATTCATCTCCTTTTGCTTTCTGGGTAGCTGGGTTGTTTTCGAAAATCACGATCTAACCCATATATCTTTTTCCCCCTCCTTTTTCAGCTGAGTTACTGAATTCTCTTTCACCTAGTTGAGTGTTGACCTAAGGAGCTTTATAATTTTAGTAGAATTGTCAATGGATGCTATCCACAATGATGTGAAGGATGTTAATGGACATAAAAACAACAGCTTAAGTGCCGTAGATTCTGCTGAATCTGTAGATCATACTGATGGAGAAGATGACGGTGAATCAAATGCTTTATTGGTACCTAAAAGAGAAGAAATGTTGATAAAATCGGATAAGACGAGGCGAAAAGTCCAATGGAATGATAGAAATGGGAACAAACTTGTTGAAATCATGGAATTTGAACCAAGGTAATTGGTTCATTTTGGACTTTTGATAATAGTGATCTTTTTGTTTGAATTTATTGCCAATTATGTATTTGATGTTCTGAACATAGTTTCTTTATCATTTTAGGTATGTTTGCACACTAGAAATTTGATACATGTTATGTTGTCGGTATAAAATTTACAACTTTATGTTGCATATAGGTTCACCCTTATAGCAAGGCATTGTTATTCCCTTTCTTATGTTAAGTTGGATCGATGATTGTAGCGATGGATTCTCTTAAACCGATATTCGTTTTCGAGGGTTTGCTTAGGTGATATTTGTTAGACTGATTATCTGTTTATGTTGAATCTTCATTTGTTGTTTCCTTTCCCAATTTGGTTAGACTGGTAAAGTTTTGGTTTGCAACTTTATGTTATGGTGCCGATCGGGTCTTCACAGCATGTCTTTCGGATACTTTCTTCAACCATTGGGATTTGTTTTGCACATTTCTTCGAAAGTTTTGTTTGCGTTAGCTATGGACATTATCTGAAAAATAACATGTCGAATTCTGTTTCTCTTGGCTTGTGATCAACTCGTTATAATGCGTTGTCATCCGACTATCTTAGTATACCGGTAACACTACCAGCCATAGATTAGAGAATGCAGATCGAGCTGCTGACGGATTAGTTTTCTGTTCTTGATTCTTCAATCTAAAACATCAAGAGCTTTGCTTTAAGTACAATGGACTATCGTTTCTGATTACATGATTTGAATAGTTCTTGGTGTATTAACTATGAATTAGTTGAGTTGGATTCTATGATAAAAATTTGGGCATATTTTGGATCTTTGTAAGAATTAGTACTTCTTGTATGCCGGAAAAACCGATTAAGTATGAACAATCCTACATAATTCTTGGTTATATCGTTCGGTGTATATAACTAGGTTTTACGCATTCTCACTACAATGTCAAACTACAGTAGAAAACGATGACTCGTGTGATTTACAATCTTAACTTGCAATATCGATTAGTTGATTGTGTTTTTTTTGACGATTCGTGATTGTATCTCTCTCCTCCTAATGTTCTATCTGCGCCTGCAGTGATGTGAGCGATTCTGATGACGACGACGATGAGGATTCCTGCATGTGTATAATAATGTAGACATCGGATATGTCTTGCTAGAAACATCGACGGGAGCTTCGTTGTTCAACCTTGATTTTGATATTTGCTACCAGACATCGCTGGTTTACACTAGCTTTTGGAAGGATAGGTTAAATGTTCCGAAGCTGACTCGAGGTAGTCTTCTCATATTTTTGCAGTTCATCGAACTGGAGTGTTCCCCAGAGGTGGTTTGTCATGTGTTTCGCCATTAAAAGATGAGAATTCGTGGGAGCAAATGAAGATGACGGTTATCTTCCTTGCGCGATGTGTATTCGGTATTCTCTAATCATTAAGATCGTTTCATTTTTGTTCACTTATTGTATGTTAGTATTATACAAGTTGAACAACGTATAAGAGATAGGTTTCCATTTCCGACACTTGCATCTTGTTTACGTCTTACGTTTTTTTCACCCGGATACTGTCAGGTCGGGTCAGATACGGATATGTTCCATTAAAACTGCTAATGGATCCGAGATATGGTGCAATTCTAAGTTACCCGAACTCGGGTCCCGAAAACTTTGAACTGATAACACAATGTTCTTGTAGTTCCCAGAATTATTCAATGTTGCAGTGTGTATAAAGTATGCATATTCTGGTTGCCTCTGTTTAGAACATAAGACTTCCATTATTGAGCATCTTTTATTACAAATTTGCTGCCTGAATTGATTGTTACATACACCGGAATTCTGTTCCGATCCAATTCCGATCGGTAATAGACATCAGAGCTCTGCAATATTTGATCAAATTTCTGTCACGATCCAGTTTCGATCGATCAATAGATATCAGAGCTTTGCAGTATTTGATCATATGCAAACATACCAATGGCGTCCAGGACATGGATGTGGGAGCTTTGCAGTATTTGATCTTATCGATATTCGTTTAGAGATCAGAAAAACTGTTACGATAACTATATTCATCCTATTCAAAAATCGATATGCTGTCGATTCTTCATCCTGAATCGGATCATACATTTGAACATTCATGTTAGACATAAACTTAACGTTTAGTTTTTTTATTTCATTTTAGTATCCGTCGTTAAAAATGTAACGCATTTAGAACCTAAATTATCGGATTTGACCCGTTTTAGTACTTGAACTTTCAATTTTCCCCTCAAAACTTAACGTTAAATTTTGAATATGGTATTAAAATGAAACAAAAACTAAATTTTATGTATGATTTTGAAAAAATTGAAAGTTTAGATACTAAGACTGAACAAAACTGATAGTTTAGGTACTAAACGTACAATTTACCCTTTAAAAAAAGGTATTTGTTACATTATTTTTCGAATTAAAATGTACGACCCCTTACTCTGATTCAGATATGAGTAAGGGTGTTTAATGAGTTGAGTAATTCGTAAGTTGTTTGAATTTGATTTAGTTAATGCTCGATTCAGGTTGATTCAATTCGAGTTTGAGTCGAGATCTTAAAATTTTATTTCATTAAAAATTATAATTAATAATTACTAATTTATTAATAAATAATAAGAAAGAGGTTAAATTATTAATTAATAATTGATACTAATTTATTAATTTACTAGATTTTACATTACATATAGTTAGAAAAATAATGTAAAAATTCTAGTGAATTTAACGAACAACAAATCATATTGAGCAACAAGTGTTTTATAACAAGAACGATTGAAGTAAAATTTTATTAAGCTTAACTAGTAATGAGTCGAATCAAATAATTTTTTTTAATTAAACACAAGTCAATACTACTCAATTCACGATCTTGCTGGATATACACTCTTGGATGTTAGCGCTGACGATATATTATTGTTTTAAAATTGTCATATAAGTTTTTTTATTTTCTTAATAATTTAATAATTAATCAATTTTTGAATTCTTTTATTTTCTTAATAATTTTTAATTTTAAACTTTATTTTATAAATTAAACCAATTAATTAACCCAGTCCGGCCCTAATAACCACCGAACTCTAAATAAACCTAAAACCTAGCCCAGATGAAACCGGTCCAGTCTCATGATCAAATCACAGCCGTTAAATCCCGAAAGAATCACAATCCCACCGTCCATTCGGCATACAATCCGATCCCTCACAATCTCCCTTCCTTCTTTATTCTTGGCTTCCCACCCAGCAACATTCTCTCTCAAAATGGCCCCTAAATTTCTCTTTCGTTTTTCTCCAAATCCCTAAAAAACCCAAATACCCTAACCTAAAATACGATTGGATTACGAATAAAAGGAATTCGTTAGATTTCGAGAGACTAAAAGAGAAGAGAAAAGGAGGGGGAATGGATTCAGATCAGGGGAAGTTGTTTATCGGTGGGATATCATGGGAAACAGACGAGGACAGGCTAAACGAATACTTTGGTCAATACGGAGACATCTTGCAGACTGTTGTTATGAGAGATAAGGTTACTGGTAGACCTCGAGGTTTTGGATTCGTTGTTTTCTCAGATCCGTCCGTCCTCGATACTGTTCTTCAAGAGAAGCACACCATCGATGGTAGAACGGTGAGATTCTTTCTGGGGTTTTTTTTATATATATGTTTTGGCGTGTTAATGTTTGTTTAGGGTTATAGTTACCTTCGAGTAGGAAAATAAATTTGGGGTTAATGTTGTTTTCTATTCCTTTACTGTTTGGTGATTGTATGGGTTATATGGGTTCATGATCCCCCCCAATTATGTTGTATTTATTGTTACTTATGAACTTTTGTACTTGTGTTTTCTTAGTGTATGATATATTCTCTTGGCGCCAATTTTAGTGTGGAGTGGAGGCATTGTTTGGTTAGCTTAGGGCTTTTTATTTTTTTTAGTTCATCCATGTTTGTGTATTTATCTGTATTGCTATTGGCCTTGCCTGGTGCAAAGATAGTTCCCAATTATAAGATAACTGTTTCCCAGGTCGAGGCAAAGAGGGCTTTATCTAGAGAGGAGCAGCAAACATCTGCCAGATCTGGTAATTTTAATCAGGGTAGAAATTCCGGAGGTGATGGAAATGTCAGGACCAAGAAGATTTTTGTTGGAGGGTTGCCTCCGACCTTAACTGAAGATGGGTTTCGTCAATACTTTGAGGCTTATGGTCATGTGACCGATGTAGTAATCATGTATGACCAGAATACTCAACGGCCTCGTGGATTTGGTTTTATCTCCTTTGACACTGAAGATGCAGTTGATAGGGTTTTACACAAAAATTTTCATGATTTGGATGGCAAGCAAGTTGAAGTGAAGAGGGCCCTTCCTAAAGATGGCAATCCTGGTGGGGTTAATCGAACTTCGAGTGGAGGTTCTGGTGGTTTTGTAGGTTACCAGAGCTTTGGTTCATCTGGTGGGAATTCAAGTTCTTATGATGGTCGAATGGATTCCAATAGTTACATGCGCGCCCAGGGTACTGGAGCTGGCTTTCCACCTTATGGCTCATCAGGATATGCACCTGGTTACGGTTATGGTCCTGCTAGTAGTGGTGTTGGCTATGGTAGTTATGGCAATTATGGTGCTGCAGGTGCTGGTTATGGTGCCCCTGCAGGTGCAGCTTATGGGAATCCCAATGCTGGTTATGTAAGTGGGCCTCCTGGTGCCCCTAGGAGTTCATGGGGCGCTCAAAATCCAACTGGTTATAGTGGTATGGGTTATGGAAATGCTACTCCTTGGGGTGCTGGTGGCCCTGGTTCTGCAGCTACTGGCCAATCTCCCACTGGAGCAGCTGGGTACGGGAATCAAAGTTATGGATATGGTGGATATGGAGGAAGTGATGGACCATATGGGAATGCTGGATATGGGGCAGCTGGAGGTCGTTCTGGTGGTACTCCAAATAGTTATGCTGGCTTGGGTGGGGGAGATCTACAAGGGAGTGGCGGTGGTTACATGGGAAGTGGATACGGTGATGTAAATGGAAGTTCAGGGTATGGTAATGCATCATGGAGGTCTGATTCATCCCAAGGTTCTGGTTACGGGGGTGCTCATGCAAATGGTACTCATGGAGGACAAGGCGGTTATGGTGCTGGGTACGGTGGTGCACAGGGCCAACAACAGTGATTATATGACTTGAAAGACAACTTGATCTCGACCTCTTCTGTGCGTAAGCTTTGCTTTGCAGTTTGCGTTCGTAATTGTGATGGTTTCTTACACCCAGCAGTGACAGGGGAGGCTCACGTTGGATGCCAAATCTCCTTGGGACCGGTTGGATTGCTTGAAACCCTGTAGTTTGCAGTATCTATCTTGCTAGTCATAATAAGTAGTTTTTAGGCATAATAGATGCCTTTCAGTTGTGCTACCGAGTGCAGTTTTAATTTGGCTTGCTTTATATTTTCTTTTTTCTTGCCGCTCCAGTACGTTCTTATCTATGGTAGTGTTCAAGTTGTGTTTGTTTTTATAACTTAAATTTGCGTTATCTTGCTATTTTGAGTATTTTGTTGTTATTTATACCATCTAGGGAAGCTGGATGACAGGTAATCATTCTTGATTTGATATGATTAGTAGGATATGGAGATTTACCAAGGATTTTTAATGATAGAAGTGGAGCTATGGGCCACTTGGGTTGATCACTCGTATTGGTAGCGTTAATCGTAGTGGTAGTTGACACTTGAGGATGGCATAATCATTTTCCCCTGTATTTGCCCTTGTGTTGTACAGGTGGAGAGATGCACGAGAGTTCAAAGGTGGAGTCAAGTGTCCACTCATGACTCAAACCGAGCTTTGTGGTTGGGGTTGTTCAGTGTGGGGTTGGTTTGGCAGAGGAATTGCTCGGTTGAAATTTTGTATTAACATGAGATGAGAGTGGCCCTTCCCCTCCCCGGAGCTGCCCCAACACTGCAAACACAAAAGTTTCCCCGATCTTCATTCAGGTTCTTTGGGGGGTTTATTCAAGATGGAATTGGATTGGTTAAGCAAACTTCTTGGGGATCCGGAAGATCAAGATTGCTGTTCTCGCTAATCATTGAGTGTGCTTGGAATAGATCTTATAGCATTGGGAGGGAGTATGCCCTTCGCATTAGTTTTGGAATGAATAAATTGAGTTCTGCCCAAAATTTGATGCAGGGGCCTATCTTCCATTTTACTGGCAGTAGGTTAAATCTACTAAATTCTGCTGGTTAAAATTGGAAGTTGAACTGAGTTTTGGTTGGTGGAAGGAGTTAAGGACGTATTGTTTTAAGGATGAAAGCATTTAGGATCAAAGATTTTAGATAGAAACTCAGCCTTTTTCCCCTCATATCAATAGAGGTATTCATTTAAGCTATAAGCTAATCAGGTTTGTTTAGTAGTTGATACATAAAGCAACGAGGGTTGAAAAGGCTGGTCGAAGGTCATTGATCGGCAATGGCTGCATAGCATCTATTAGGATTTGGCTGCCTTGCTTGAATTAGTATATATGGTGTTAATGAAACCTCGGAATGGATATCCGGGTGCCCGGAAATGATATCCGGGTGCCCGGAAATGATATCCGGGTTCTCGGAAATGAAGAAACCATTCTGAATGCTCTCAAACGAAGTTCTCTCAAATCATCTTGTTGGAATGCTTGTAAAATGGTTGTGGAAGATCAGCAAAATGTGTTGCATGTCGAATGCCAATATAAACCTCGGTTTGCAAGCATTACATTTAAAAAATTACATGTTACATGCAATTCAAACACTATATATAACGATTTGATACAAATAATTTTATTATTTTTGTGCCTATAATTTTGACTTTGTTTCAATTTGGTCAGTGTAATTCAATCAAAAATTACAATCAAACCAAAGTATTACATGTGTTTATCTCCTTCAAGTGCATGAATCTCAAAATATGACTCGGATTCAAAAAAAAAAAAAAAACTGCCTCTATTGAATAACCGAGCACATTTTAATGCAGAGTTTGCCCCAGTTTTTGAAACATTCCATTTTGATCTCTGTAATTTTAAATTTCTTTCAATTTGGTCCTACAAATGCCCGAAAAAGAAAGAAAAGAAAAATATCATGTAGGGTAAAGGTGTTCCTTGTTAGTGATGCATTTTTTGTACATGACAGAAAAATAGTTCTATTTCGAAAATTAATAAAAATGGAAGTTAATTTAGAAATTAATCTCTAAAATGATGATATTTATGTTAAAAGGCTAGCATTTTTAAATATTTATAGATAAATCTATTAAATTATTTTAATTAGGGCAAAATAATTTTTAGAGGTTGTACAATGAAATCGAGAAAAATAAAAAAAATCGATTTAAGTTAAACTATATGATTCATTTTGATTCCAATTTTTCATTTGGTCGTTCGGTTTCCTTATAGTTTACATATATAAGTTCACAATTCGGTTTGATTTCAATTTTTTTTTCTTATGAAACTCGTTTGTTCCAAATCAGATAGAATTAAAAAAAAAGAAAAAAATTAATATTCAAAATTGAATTCATTATGAGCTTGAAAAACGATGATTAGTTAAAAACCATAAAATCGAATTAAACTGAACAAAAAAATTTAATTTTTATATCATTATGAGTTTGAAAAACGATGATTAGTTAAAAACTATATAATCGAATTTAATATTCCATATTAATTGATCAAAGGTTATATGATAATAATACCATAACACATATTCAAATCAATTTCGCTTATTTTTTATTATCAAACAGATAACAACATTTCAAATTTAGTAACCAACGTTACTTTAACAAAAAATTCTATTAATTAGGTTTGTCCACTTTAAAATTAAGCAAATCAGTTAAAACAGTAGGATAAATCCCAAAAATGAATTTATTTGTTTATCTCAATTTTTCAAGATTTCCGTATCGTCTCGGATTTATTTTTTCCAAAAAGGCAGAAGATAAATTATGTCTTAAGATTGTTAGAAGTATAGCAATCCGAGATGAAAAGAAAATATAAAATAAAATATTTTATAGATTCACAATGTGTTTTCATAGTGATTCACACAAGTTGCGTCAAAGCACATTTAATTCCAGTATTCCATTGTAGGATTTCGTCGCAAAGTTTGTGTACCGGAACAACTGATATGAAACGAGTTGAGGCCTACAACTACGCAGTTTCCTTAACACAGATTTTCGACAACTCATTGGTGCTCGAGATCTTTGGTCGTCTGTCTCCCAAGATGCAACAACGAGATGATCATCGCACAATAGCACAATTGTCGAGATCACGAACTATTCCTTGCCTTCGTCTATCACTGGAAAAACTAGAGGAGAGAAAAACTTTTTGAATAGCTTTTAAGTTGTTTGAATTGTATTTAACTTAGTGGGTTTAAAATGTATTCATAGGAATTTCACATTGTGAACAATTGAAAATTTCTGACATAATGAAGCATCAATGAAAATCAAGAAATTTCCAAAATTGACGTTTTAATTAAACGAACGTTTTAATATATACCATTTTAACTCCGAAACAAATTTTGAAAAGATATGATCTATTTGAGGAAAATATATCACATTTGGGTTAAAATATTTGCAAGCCCATAAAAAGTTAGATCGGTTCGGACATTCATGTTACACACATCGTGCACGTCTGCACATTTATGAACCAATAATTGGTTTCACATTGTCCTCTACAACGTTTGGATCAATTTCTCATTCATATCTACAAAATTATCGAATTTTTCCAACAATTTATCCTTAAATATGTTATTATTAAATATTAGTATATTAACAATTATTAAAAAAATTATTGATATTAAATTATTCTTTTATTGATTAATTATAATAAACAAGTTATTAATTCACCTATTAATAATAAGTGAGTAATTAATGCTATTCGCTCTCTACCTTCACCCTGTACTTTTTATTTTTATTTTTTTTACAATTTGTGTCAATTTTTTATAGATCGAATTTAACTTTTTTTAATCTTGTTTAGCTGGTCGCGATACCAGTTGATTCTAGTTGTCGATCGTCGGTTATATTTTTCTTTGTTTTATTTTTTATTTTTTTAAGAATAATTTTATCTTTGTAACACGTTTATCTCTGTCTTTTGGTAGTTTTTGATCGTTGTTTTCGTTTATCTTTTTCCTCAGTGTTAGATTTGACATCACCACAACTGATCAAGATGACGCTTATTTGTTATTATGCTGACATTCCCTACTTTGGACAATCAGATTGATTTGGATACATGTTTTACATTCGTGAATAGTTTTCTCATGTCTCTCGACTCTGATTTACGATTTTTCGGTGATATTTTAGTAGTTTACTCTCTTTTGTGGTTCATTTGTCAATGCAATCAGATTTGTTTGTATCTTAATTTTGTTCGAACTTTTTTGTTAGGATTTTGTAACATTTTCCTTCTTTGGTCCTTATGTGATTTTGGTGACTAGTTTTTGTCTCAATAATAATAGAAAAATGTCATAATTATATTTTATGTTTACGTTTATACATGTAAATTTTCATTGTAATTTTGAATATTTTCTATTTTTAATAATATTAGCAACTTTCTATTAAAATAAGTGAGTAATAAAATTAAAACTAGTCAGTATAATATATAGACAAAATTACAAAAAACATAATCATATATATATATATATATATATATATATATAATTAAAATCAATTATTAAAAAAATAAACATATAAATTAACAATCTAAATATATCTAGATCTAAACTTAAAAAAAATAACTCAAACAATTCATAAAGTAAGTTTAAAGTAAAAACATATATAGTAAATTTAAGATTTCAGGCTACAAAATTTTCTCACTACTATAAAACATTACTATTTTTAGTCTTTCGACTGTTAAAAATTGTAAAATAGTCACCCAATTATTTATATGCTTCAAACTCATTTTTTTGTTAAAAATTTGACGATCATCTGAGTTGGCATTGACCCATTAATTGGAATATGATAAATCTAATCTCATAATCATCTGAACTGTATTTTGTAGATTGATTATCTGTTTATATTATACCATTGAGCTTATGCTTGAAATGTCATAGCGTTAAGCCAGTGCTTGAAAGCAACGAGTGCGGCAGTAAATATCATTAAAATATGATTTTATCATATCTCAGTCATATGCTAACGACAAACTCAGATAATGTTAATTTTTAACGAAAAAATAAATTTGGAATATTTTGTAACTTTTAATAGTCAAGGGACTCAATAAAACATAACCCTATAATTGGAAGACTATTTTTTAATTTTTAATAGTCAAGGATTCAACAAAACAATGTTCTATACTTTACCCATTAATGTAATTCCAAAAATACGTTAAATCCTATGTTAAGTGTGAATTAGCAACGTACGTTTCTTTCATGGCACTACAACGCTGGCAAACCTATCAAACAAAACAATGCTATTTTTTCCCCTTGCTCTCTCGTCGGACAATCTCTCCGTTTCTCCGCCGGTAACTGACGTCCCCTTCCTCCACCTCCGCCATGGTGCACAAATCCCGCGCCCGGGATTTCTTCTCTGATCCC